CCCCAAAACCCCAAAACCCCAAAACCCCAAAACCCCAAAACCCCAAAACCCCGAGTTTAAAATATAAGGATGAGTTTATAGATTTAATAATAAAGATGAATACTCTAACTATCAGACTCAACCAAACAGAAACTTTATCAAATATGACTGAAATTTCGGTTGCGAATGAAGCTATAAACACCCCTAGTCAAGGTAAGCCTTTGCAACGGTTAAATCAAAATTAGGTTTAGCTATAAACTTTACTTATCAACCTTCATCAAGCCAATTATTAATTTCTCCATTTAGAGTGTAACGAAGACACCGACTTCTCCATCAGAAGAAACAAATGAAAAGGACAGGTGTTAGCAAATAAGGGTGATGCTTCTACTGATTGAACCCCTACTTTTAATGATGTGGACGAGAACTTTAGTTCTGCCATAGGATTAGCTTCTCTGACCGTCAAAACTTCTCTTACTTTTAAGAAACCTACTAATCAAGAATCTAAAACTCATTCCTTCGATGAGGATACTCAGTGTGAATCCTTCACTGACAGTGATGGAGATGTCACCCTAGAAGATAATGAGTGTATGATGAGCGAAGAAGAGTACGTCGATCTCATGGAGAAGACCTTCTTCCTCGTGAAAGATGCTTTGGATAGAAGATTTAGGCCTCTTCTATCCCCTACTATTTTGAAGAACAAGATGTACTCCATTCTTAGGAAGAGTCCAGTACTTGTTGAGCCAGACCTCCTGTTTGAAGAAGGAGCTCTGGAGAAGTCTATCACGATGAAGAGAACGAGGTCCCACCCTACTACCCCCCTCTGAAACAGGATGGTGTCTATTCATGCAAATAGAAAGATCTATTTTGATTCGATGAAGAAGGCGTCGAGTGTAAGAGGACAAAAGGAATCTCAGATCTCAGCCCTTTTCAGTTTTCTGAGAAAGGAATAACTAATACTTTACTTAATAATGTACTTAATCTAATTCATTTCTTGGTGAGAGGGCATCTGTTAGAGGCTGTTTAGAGGTTAGATCATTTCTTAGTTTTGGTTTATAGGATATAAAAATTATAGATATTATCAAAACGACTTATTTTGTTCCTCAGATAACATTCAAACTGGCAGGAACCCCTCGGAATATTCTTCTGAGCATATCTCAGGTTGATAAAACCTTAAAATAATATTTATCAGCTTAACATGAGAAAAAATTCATGAATCTATTTTCTAAAAATGTTCAATAATTCTCAAAATTGGTTTTTCTTCCTCAGAAAAATTCAAAAAATTATATGCATAAATTTCTTATAAATTAACGAGAGAAAATAAATATGTAATTGCCACAGAAGTATACTCTACTCAGACAACTGGTCATTAAGCTAGGCTAATAAACAGCTTGAAAAATCTTGTCCAAACCGATAATTTATCGCTATTATTCCGCCAAATCAGTCGAACACTCTTTACTAAAAGTGACTGGGGCATTTAGAGCACAAAAATATTGGAGAAATCTTCCAAATTAGAGAAAAAATTCCAAGGTCGAGTTTCCATTCTGATCTTTTAACCCAATTTTTACTTTGAGATAACTCAAATTACTCACATTGAGAAGAGCCAGCGCTCCTAAACAGACCGACTTGGATCTAATAAGTTTAGGTTTATACAAGAAATCAGCAAAAATATTAGACAAGTTAAAATCTACTATTATTTTCTTAAAGCTTAAGTGCACTTTAGCATAATTTTTACATCTTTTTTGCTAGATTATCAGCTTATCAGGGGCTCCTTAAGCTGATGATTTACCATTAAATAAAAGGTACATTAAATTTTATTTCGAATAATTCATAATTAGAGATAAATTTTTTAGCGCTTTTGGACAGATTCGTAATGTGAAGTTGTAAGTTTACAGAGCAAAGAGGTATACTGAGATGCTTACTTCACTAATTAATCCACCTGCGAAGGAAGAACAGAACAAGATCATCTTCACTCATTCCATTATTGTAATTTTTATGTCTCATTAGTAATACAGGACAATTTTAGGCACTTTAAGACCCCTCAGTGGTTCACCAAAGCTCTATTTCACGAGAAAAAGTTAAATATTACAAACATTTGATTGGATGGCTTTCTTAGTTAAGATATTTCATCCTGCTTATGTTTCCCAGAGATTTATTGAAGATATTTTACATGTGAGCAAACTCCCAAAATTAATTAAAGGTTTCCTAGTATTTAAATTTTCAACACGCTACTGAATTTTATCAATAATAACATTTTGGATCAGCTAGTGATTGTCGACTAACGATATCTCGACTTATAGTTCACTAGGGTAGATATGGAACATAAGCTCTTGTTCCTCATTTCAAAAAGAGAAACATTGCATTCTCATCTCAAAACAGAGTTTGTAAACTTTATTCAAATATGTTATCTCTCTTAGATGAACCTCTTGTGATTGCTATCTGCACAGGAAGTCTGACTCTAATATGTCCAAGTTACTATCTTAGAAAAACAAGGTAATTCACCTATTTTGAAGTGTTAATCTTAGCAAATGATCTAAAGGGAAATCTGTCAGTTTCGGTAAGTGCACCAATCTCGCTAGTTAGGAAAATTATTGAAAACCTGTGAAGAAAGGGCTTATTTGCATACCTCTAGGCTCTCCAAAACAGATTGAACTACCACCAACACCTTTCTGATAGGATTGATTCTTAATTAAGAATTTTCTTATCATATTTTTCATCTGGGGGTAGACCTCATGGGGTTTTGGGGTTTTGGGGTTTTGGGGTTTTGGGGTTTTG